ATTTCCAGATACATTATTAGTTTCACATACATTTAGAATATATAAGTTTTGTGTTAGTCAACTTGAAGCTGTTATTAGAAGACAAATACATGAATCAAAAATCAAAAAAACAACTGGACAAAATAGTAATAATACAAAAAAGGGTAAAAAACCAGGGAATAAATTTAATAATATGTAGACAAAAACATTTTTTTTCTTTATTTATTATTTGTTATATAAACTTTTAATATTTTGGATTGCTAAATTACTTAAACTACTACAGAATATAATAAAAAAAGTTTATCTTGTTAATTAATTGAATGAATTTTTTTAATACATATAAGAATAGATAATTCAGCAGCAAGTCCCGAACGAATTGATTCGATCTGATACTAAATTTCTTTTAATGTCATATTAATAGTAATAAGGATTCTATTCGAATAAGGTTTATTCTAATGATCGTTATGAATTTGAGTATTCAAAATACATTGAATGTTTATTCGAATGAATAAAAAAGCGAATAAAACAAATAATAAGAATTTGTATTCCGAATAGAAACTCTCATAAAAAGTAATATTGTTTAAATTTAAATAATAAATATAACAATGATGAATGACAATAATTGCATTGTTGAAAATGATGCCTCTTCAATTACTTCTTCAACAGGCATAGTACAATATGTTCAAAGAAGGAAGTGTGGAACCATTTGTTCGAATTTCATTGATTCGTTCTGAGCCTCATTCAGCGGATATTCGATGAATAATCGAGTAATCACCGATTGTCCGCGTGGTAAATTTTTAATTAGACCGATTATCCGGCAAAATTGGGCAAATTTTTCGTCTCTATAATTAATATCCTGCTCATACGACTTTATTAGAATATAATTCCCAAAATAACTTCCAACTTAAATTTATATGAGGCTACTCCTCTTGAAAATAATTAAATAAAATTTATATATTTAAATTTAATATTTCAGATATGTCAAGCAGTCTATGAAATTTGCTCAGTATCAATTTAACAATTTTAACTGCATCATAGATATTGTTGACTGATCCGGAATTAGATTTTTGATGCAGATCTTTTGGTCGAATCTTTTAATTCCGGGACAAATTTAAATTTTATTTATTTATTAATTCTATTTATTTATCAATAACGTGTATAATTATTTATTATCATCTGAATTCGCGTTACGTTTCGCGGATTATTATTATTATTATTATTTATTAATCCATAGCACATTCATATTTATTTAACTTTATTTAGTAGAGATTAGTGACGATTCTTCAAAACGGGCGGATTCGCGCAATTCGGGCTAATATGTAAAGAACATGTATATAAAGAACTTGATTTCGACCTAATGTAAAAGCAACTTTCTTACAAGTTAATTAGTTTCGACTAAATAAATAAAATAGAAATATTTTATTTAAAACTTTTATCTTTAACCAAAATTATTCGCTAATAACAAAATCAATTCGTTGATCCCCTATTCATTCTGATCCACACAAAACAAAAATAATTATTATCACCAATTAAAATACACTCTCCCGAATTTAATCGGTGACAATAGTAATAATAATAATGAAATAATAATATTAATGATAATGATAACGAAATAGCAATAATAATTAAATAATAAAAAAATAAGGTTTTCACTGATCACCAAATAATTTTTCCATAACCATAAATAACGTAATTTATTATTATTTTTATTTTACATAAACACTTGCATCAATTATTGATTTTTTTTATGTCAAAATTGTTATTTTGCCATTTATTTTTATCCATTTATTAGTATCTATACTAGTTTCAAAAATAATTTTGAACTTTTAAAGACAATTATAACATGATGTTGACCCGGGTCAAACCCGGGTCAATTAAATCATGACCCGACCCGACCCGTTTCGGAGCTCTACTTCTTTATATCGTGAAAATATTCTTTAAATAGAGTAATGATCAGTGGTGAAATTTTTTTTTTAATAGTAAAATGACAAAATTTAAACCATCATAACTCTTCATTTTAATAAAAACTCTCTATTTCATCTTTCCCTATGGCTTATAGAATAAAACTATAGAGAGTTTTTTTTTTATCTTACATGGTCATTGAACTTATACATTTTAAAGTTTAGCCAAAATTTTTGATGTCATTAAGATGATCGGCACATACGATGATTTGCCGGAGTATAAAGATATTATCATTTGTAAACATGGTTTTGCATGTAACTTGCGCAGTGTACGCGATAATTAAGAATAAAAAAGTCGGCGATGATCCCGGTTTTGATTAGATTGAACTTTTCTTGATAATGTTCCCAGCCATAGTCATTCCAATATTCTGGATTGTTATCATTATAACTAGACATCCTTTTGATTCAATTAGTATGGTATTCATTACATCATTTGGGATATTGTCAAATTCACCATTCATTTGGATTATGCTAATATGTTTTAATGCGTGTGGTGAAGAGTTGTGTGGCTTAAAGGAATAAGACTATGGACATATATGCTATTTTGTCCTGGATGGTTTTATCTCCCGAATATTTTGCAAACATTATTATTTATTGTGTTAAATGGACAATCCGATTTTTACTTTGTCAAAGCATGCGTGTTTATACTGGTTCTCTCTTTAACAAGAAAGGTGTCCTTCTTTACATAGAAGGAACCAGCACCTGGCAATTTTCTGGCAACTTCAACAGCATAGACTCAATTTAAACTTATAGATGAATGCCTAAATGAGGATGAAAATCAAAAGGATGAAACGAAAGAACCAATAATGGCTGAAACGAAAGAATCAATAATAGCCGAAATGAAAGAATCAATAATGGCTGAAATGAAAGAATCAATGGCCGAAATGAGAGAATCGATAAAATGGAAAAATCAAGATATATTGGATGAAATTGTGTGTGAAAAAGATAGCAAATAGATAAGCCTAATTTTGTCGAAATTTACATCTTTTTTTTTTAGAAAGGATTATTGTGCTGGGTGGCTTCGTCACTAACAGTATACATGTATTTATTACATCATTATATATGGCAAAATTTTAAAATAGTTATTTAATAAAACATATTCCCGATATAAATATATTCAAGCTTGCCCGATACATCATATAAAGGAAACATATGAATATCTATCACTGTTGAGATAGATCGTTAGGTATATAGCAAACCAGACAGACCAAATCTAACACCACCGAAGTTGTGATTGATTATAACTAGGGATGGGAAATTTCAAAATTTCATGCGCATTTCATGCAGAGCATTTTTTTTTTTTTTTTAAGAAAAATCACTCAACATTATATTCGGCATTACTTTAACATTTTTTAATGCATTATTTATTCATTACTAAAAATATATTATGAAAATTAAATGTTTACAGATGATTCATTTTCATCATCACTGTCAATATCACTATTATCAGCACTATCAACATTGCCATCATTATCATCACCATCATTATTATCGTCATCATCACTATCATCAATATCTTCACCTACATTTGTAACATCTTTGGGGTTTTCAATTTATTATTTAAAATCACGATCATTTGTCAATTTATTTCGTTTTTTATCATATATATAAGAAATGTAGACCAATTCCTTTCTGCTGCACCTGATGAGGTAAGAATAGAAAGAACTCTTACCACAATTTTTGTCAATTCAGGTGCCACAGCTCCGAAATTACTTTTCCACCAGGCCAATAAATCCACATTATTGGTAGACATCCATGCCAATGAGTTGCCAAATATACAACTACGAGCTTTATATTGTAAAATTTAATTTCTGCACTTTCTGTGTGTGACATTATTTGAAAAAAAATCATGCGCACGGAACATCTCTAGTTATAACAAATAGAAATACATGAAAATATTGTCAGGGCACTTGGACCGAAAGCATTAGTATCTTCATCTTCTTCACCTTCCATTTCTTTATTCTTTTCCTTGTTAACTAACTGGTTATTTTTTTTATGTATAATAAATTTTTAATATTATAAATCACATATTGATTCATATTATAATATAAACATGTAAATTTATTGATCTTAATTGTTCAAATATTAGATCAGGATGCAAGTAGTAGAAAGTATTCAATTCATTCATTCATATTAGTATCAGTCTGATTTCAAATTAATGCTTAAAAAAAAAATTTTAACATAATTATCACATTCTAACTGTGTTACTAAGAGGAACAACAGTATTGTCGCTTGTATCTGTTGTTGTCGTGTAAGCACATTTTTCTTCATTAGAGAAAAAAACATACCACCGCATTACATGATACTGGTGGTAACGATAAAATCTGTTTCGTTTTTTGGCCGTTTGAATTTCTATAACGCAAACCACGGTTGGCCAACCATGATACTGGTACATTGGATCCATTGATGTGACATTTTAACCATATTTGTGACATGGACAATATAAAGTGTCAATGTCAAAAATCATGATTTTGAGTTGTTACCACACATATAAGTAACTTGTTGCAAGGAACAAAACGGAATGAGAACAACATGTATTTATCCAATGCTCGATGTAATAATTATTTTTTTATATTTTCCATGAGACAATAACCTTTGATATGTATATATGTGCATGTAAATAAATATATACATATACATATATATATACTATTAAGTTTAGATATATAACTTGCAATTTTTGTTGGCATCGGCTCCGATTTTTTTTTGTCATTTTCATCAACGAGAATACACATTTATTCCATTAACCTAATTTGTTCTTTATCATATTCACAATCATATAATAATTAATTTTTTAATGTTCAAAAATAATGCTATTATGATCTATGACGAATACTTGATATAATATGATCGGCTTGAAAATTTTCCAACGAAACTACTTATCGAATTTTTATATCAGTCACGGGTAGGGGTGGGCGGTTTTCACTAACAAACGGTTTTGAAAGTCATTGCCTTTCTTGGTATTTTAATAAGGGTTCGTGTAATGTCGTTCAAAAAACCGTTCAAACCGTTTAAACCGGTTCCACGAAAACCAAACTCCCCCATCCCTACATGTCCCGTGAGTCACGGGACATGTCAACATTTGTCTTGCCAAGAATTTCAGGGTCAAAATTTAATCATCACCAGTAATAGTAATGGTTGGCACAATTTCGGACTCGGGTCGAATAATCGTTCGACGTGATTCGAATATTCAAATTACGAATCATACAAATCATTCGACAAACCCTACTGGCATGACTTAACCTTTCTTTTTTTATTAGATTCTGAATTATTTTCAAAAATCATCATCATATTCATTTAAATCATTAACTTCAGATTGAAACTTTAAATTTGCTGCTACACAAGAAATTCGTTTATCCGAATAATCATTCAATGTGATTCGAATGCTCAAAAAAATCAATCACGAATCATTCGAATCATCCAAGTGAACCTTATTCAAATAGAAACCCTACTTTGCAATTAAATGTTAGAACACATTAAAAAAAGAACAGACTTGTATGAAACGCATTTGGAAACCCAGATGTGAAGAAGTAGTTCAATTAGAAAATCTTTTGAACACTATATATAAGAAAGAAAATTAAACAGATAATTCTACAGTTTTAATAAAGGTACAAACAATTTATCAAACGGTTTGGAATATGCAAATTGCATCAGGTGGATTTTATAACCTTTTTATTTTACCTATGTTTTGAATGCCAAGCGTTAAATCTTTATACCTTTTGGGCCTGTTTAGTAACGATGAAAAGTTGGTCCGTGATGAATTCTATTATTCTCGTGTGACTCATGTACAGCTCACTTCTCTTACGGATATTTGTTATATCCAACATACTAATATAATAATAAATTATTTGCCTATAACTGACATTTTATCCTAAATCAAAAAATGTGATGAGAATGATTATTGATTTATGACTATTTGACTTGTTTATTTATATAATTTTTTGAAATAGAAAGAATATTTACAATTAAAAAAAAAAAAATTTATATAAGAAAATTTTAAGAAAATCTATACACATTAAATATTACTATTTAATCAATTATCAATATTACTATTTAATCAATTATCATATTATTTTCACCCTCGGATTCCCTCAATTCACCATCCTCAAGTTCATCGTCTTGTGATTCGACGACGTTCATAGGCAAGTCATCATCATTGTTATGAATCCTTGTCGGTGATGTCGTGTAAGTGACTACTGTGTTGTTATTATTTACATTATAATTATTGACACCATTAGCGTTACCGTTATTAATACCGCCATCAGCAGAGCTATTGGAACCGTTATTATTTATGACAGCATGGTTTTTATTAGGACTATTATTAGGTGGTAACCATACAGACATCCTGTTTGGGAATGGCGATCTCTTTTTAGCTTCTTCAATAAACCCGGAAGGTAACAATTGTTCTTTGAATTTCGACAAGTTTTTGAAACATCCCACCAGTGTTGCATTCACGACACCGGCTGCTGATGCCACGTCTTTGTGTTCACACTTGATAACTTCTTGATCGTCAGTTGTATTCCATATTGTTCTAGATTCATTCCACGAACTTATTGAAAGCCATATGGATGCTGCACCAACAGAGACAGGGCACTTGCCAGTTGTAATATTTAGTTCACTCGCTTGACGGTATACATGAATTGCTGCATTAAGAATGTGATCGGGCAATTTCAAATTTTGACACCACCGTTTCTATTTTAAAAAATAATAAATAACAAGACGATGAGTACAAATAAATTATTGTTGAATTATTATTAGTGAAAAGCTTTAAAAAAAAATTTTATACATACAAGATATTCAGATGAATCAACAGTTCTAGGAACACCATGGTTTCCACCACCTAAACCATTACTTTCAAAAACCTTTTGCATCAGACGATAATATGTGCCAATCTCTTGTTTGCGTATAGATGCCGCTTGACAGATTTCCACGAACGTACGAGGTAAACCATTTCTACGGCATAAAATGAACAAAATTGAGGCTAGAATATGATTTCGTTTACGGTGTGGTTGACGATTTTTCATTTCTTTCGAGTGTTTGACAATTTCAAAAATTCTCAATGTTTCTTCCCAGATGTGATGTGGAATCTCTATATTTTTCTCCCATTCTATCGCAGCCAATTCTAACCGTTCATCATTCTCCCGTATTGTGGATTTTCTTCTTGTAGGAGATGGTCTTGCCCTTCCGTTCGTTGTCACCGTCGATGACAAAGATGATATAGACGTATTTCTATTACCAGAAGATGATGCGGATGATACGGCTATGGTTTGTTGTGGTGGTGGTGGTAGTGGTGGTGGTGGATCGTCAGAAACATCATTATTACTATTAGTTATGGAAGCAATTGTTGTTGTTGATGATGCTGTATCCTTGTTACTTTCAGTAGACGAAGTAGATCCTTTACGACTACTAGACGACGAAGATTTTCTTGAAGATGTGGCAACACAACCGTTATTGTTATTTGTTAGTGATGAAGGACTCTCTTCTGATTTTATTAAAAAATTGTCGTCGTCTTTGCTATTATTACTAATAGTCGAAGTTGTTCTAAGTTTTGATAATCCGTTGTTATTATTGCTGTTGTTGGCATTATAAGTTGTAGAAATCGTTGTGGTGGTTGTATTAGTAGTGTTAGTTACAATTTCTATCTCCTCTTCATTCTCCGTCTCCATGTCATCACTATTCCATCCACCACGACCACTTTCACCAGTGGCTAGATTCCTGATAACATGTAAAGGTTGTTTATTATTGCGTGATTGTTGCGATTGTTTCATTTTTTTATCTACTACTAATACTTGTTCTATTTCCTCTTCTTCAGACTCGTCATCCATTGCAAGATCAGTATCTGAATCAGGAGTATTAGTGGCTTTATTTTTATTGCCATTAATGATATTTGTTATTTTATTATTGTTGACTTTTGCAGAAGTGATGGTGGTGATCTTACCATTTTTCTTTTCACTAGTAGAAGAAATCTTTTTGCTGTCACTAGACGAATAACTATTATTGTTATTATTATTGGTAGCAATAGCTGATAACGATGATGATTTCAAGGGTGAAGATTTTGTAGGTGAAGGTTCTGTAGGTGAAAACGATGATTTACTATTGTCTTTCTTATCTCTTTTTTTAGTAGCAGTAGTTTCTTTGACCTTGTCTTTTTGTTTACCTTCAACTTTTATACTTGACAATTTTTTATTATCGACACTGCTGGTACTACTATCTTTTTCTATTTTAATAATGGTATTATTATTATTATTATTATTAGGATTATTATTATTATTACTGTTAGGACTATCATTGTCCTCGTCATATTCTTGAATTGACAATTTTCTTACTCTATTAGAGATCAGTTGTTCAATCATATCTGCTTTTCCCTCCGTTATTTGTTGGTCAGGATATTGTTTATGATGAACATTATGATGATACTGGTGATCATTATTATCAATTGTTGCAACGTAATTATTTAGATTGTCATTATTATTATTATTTTTATTTCTGAAAGAATTTAGAATGAATATTGCTTCTTGTTCTTTTTCAGTAATTTCGTTTGAATTCAATAGGGAGTTTGTATTGGTAGCATTGTCACTGTTTGTAGCTATTTCTTTACTATCAACTATGATATCATTAAATGTAGATTCGGAGATAGACGACGAATCAACCATGGTTCTTCCATTATTATTAATTACATCTTCTTCCATTTTAACATCGACCTCCAATTTAATATTGTTATTATTGTTTGGTTCAACTTCGATTTTGATATTATCGTTGTCACGATTTTTTTTAGATTTTTTTATTGGATTTTTTATAACCGGTGGTGGTGAACGGCTCGATTGACGTTTTTTAGGTTTGTTATGAGTTGAACTCTCCAAGAATGGAATATTAGTACGTGGAGTAATTGGAGTTGGTTGAGCTATAGTTGTTGTTGAAGGTAAAGCAGCAGTATTGATTTGAATAACATTATTTGAATAATTATTTACATTATTAGTATTAGCATTATTATTATTTCCATCTTTTACATTACTCTCTTTATCTTTAGCACTATCCTTATCTTTAGGTTTTCTACCACGTTTGGTATTTGCGGAAGTAGCATTATTAGATGATTGACTTATACTATTTTTACGTGATGATTTGTTAGGTTTTTGTAGAGAAACAACAGGAGCAGCAACAGGTTGTGGTTGTAAACCATTATTATTGATTGCGTAACTATTATTACTATTATTGTTACTACTGTTACCGGTACTAATTTCATTATTGGTATTATTTATATCACCGCCTCTAACTACGTATGGAACGAAGACAGAAGTTTGTTCGTTTGAATTTATAGACTGTTGTTGTGTCAATTGTTGTTCTTGGGATGATGGTAAAGTAGTAACATTAGTGATTGGAACATTAGTAGCGGTTTGATTATTTGCATTATTAGATGCAGTCGGGTTAGAAGAAGTTGGCGCAGGAACTATTGCTCTGGGTCTTTGTGCTCTGCCACTACGTTTTTTACCAGGGGGGTTATTAGTAGTAGAATTATTACTACTTTCTTTATTATTATTAAAAGGAGTGTCACTATTACTAATATTAATGTTATTGGGTTTTTCTAAATTATTGTTATTGTTATTTACAGGGGTCGTTGATTGATTTGTCATAACTGATTCGTTAGCAACCATTGTAGCAGTTGTAGAACTAGCATTATCATTATTTGTATTTGCATTCGTGATCATATTGTTAGCTTTAATGTTAGAATTTTGATAATTAATTGAATGTGATGGAGGAGGGACCGGTGAAGGAGATCTGGTTGAAACATTCGAATTATTTTCAGAATGGTGAAGAGTAACTTGATTAGTGGCAGGATAAACAATTTGTTGTTGATGATGAGTGTGATGGGTCGTTGGAGGTGCTAAATAAGTTGGAGTGGCTTCACCGTGATGACGATCAGGATTATAATATTGATGATGATATGTTTGAGATTGATGAGGAGCAATAGGTACATTTGTAACAGAAACACTATTATTGTTACCGGTGCTGTTATTTATACCGTTATTGTGATGATGATGATGTTGTTGTTGTTGATGAGGATGTGCAAGCAGTGGTGCATGTATTTGTTGTGAATGTGAATAATGATGTTGTGAAGGTTGTTGTTGTTGTTGTTGATATGGATAATTACCATTGTTATTAGGATAATTTTGGATTGAAGGAGAATAATTATTATTATTTATATGAACATGTTGAGGAGAATTATTATTATTATTATTATTATTATTATTATTATTAATATTATTATTATTATGGTCTATTTGATCATGTGATGAAGATATTATTTGTGGTGGCTGTTGTTGTTGATTTGGAGGTTGAGGATTAAAATTTAATTGAAATTTTCTTGGTTTAGAAGGATCTTCCAACACGAAAGCATAACAATTATTACTCGAATTATTAGTGCCGCTGCCATTGCTAGTAGTATTAGGAATACGTTCTTGGGCCATTTTGTTCGTTGCCGTACGTAAAGTAATGGATAATGTGATATATATATATATCTATTTGTGTATATCTATGTGTGTATGTGTGTATGTATTTGTATATAAAAGAATTGTATATATGTTTTATGTGTGTGTGTATATATGTGTGTGTGATTTTGTATATTATTGTAAAGAAAAAATTTTTTTGTGTATATACAAGAATGAGAAGAAGAATAATAAGAAAAATATATATATATATATATTATTACTTTATATATATATATATATATATATATTCGGAATTTGTTATTATTGTATGCGAAAAGAAATTATTTTTAAGAGAAATTATTTTTTTGTAGATGAATAAAATTTTTTTTTAAAAAAAGTGAGAGAAAATTTATTTTTATAAAAAAAGTGGGGAATTTTTGGATTTATTTATATGGATTTAAATGTGTGATTTACGTAATGATTTTCGAGGGTGCGTAAACAAATATAACGTAATAAAAAAAATTTTATTAAAAGATGATGAAATTTGATTTGATGATAATTATTAATATAAAGTAAAAAAAAAAAAGTTAAAAGGAAAAAAAAGTGCGTATCGATTATTTTTGTGTATTTTATATTAAGAGGTTAAATTTTTGTATTTAGAAAAAAAAATTTTATTTTTTGGAAAAAATAAAAAAAAAGGGATGAAATTGTAGCAAGGATATTTATATATTTTTTTGAGTAATAATTGATATAATTGATTGATTGATTGATTGATTTTTTTTTTTTTTTCTACAGCTAATAATTATTATAGTTTATAGTTTATTTATTTATATATATATATAGCAGTTTATATATTAAATAGTTAATAAATAATATTAATTATATGATTGTTATAGTCAATTTTTATAGTTAAATAAATAAATAATGCATTTGCGAGTTTGTACGAGGTTAATTTCAGTATTTAGATATAGTTAGTTAGTTAGTTAGTTTTGTGGTATGTTTTTGTAATGTGTGTGTGTGTGAGTGTGGTAAGATTTTTTTTATTTAGAAATATATTTTTTATTTTTTTTGGCCGTGATAAATTTGGTTAATTTTTTGGACGATTTTAATTCTATTTGATTTGTTTGGTTAGAATGATTTCTGTTGATTGTCAATTGATTGGTTGAAAATAATACGTCAGAGGGAAGTGTACTTTAAATGTTTATAAAAATATGGGATTAATTATTATAATTTTAGTATGATGACGTATTATAACTGTAGTTTAACAAAGATAGTTTAAAATAGTTTAGCCTAATGAAAGTTAAAATTTTTTTTATCTGATAGCAAAAATTAGTGGGAAGAATGTTTGATGATGATGCGTCGTCATTTGTGTGCGCTTATAATGTGTTTATTTTATAAATATTATGTTTTTTGTGTTACTTTATATATCAAACACAAATTTCTTTAATTTGAGAGGCGTATTATTAAAATATGGAAACTAAATACGTTTATTTATAACATATATATAGATGTGTGTAATGTTTGTTAGGTATTACTTTGACACTTCCACTTTCTTCTATCTCCCTCTTTTTCTTTACTTAATTAACCGTTAATCAATCAATACTTTTAAAATTATCATCATGATCATCGTGATCATCATAGGAGGTCTAAAAAATCAAGAATTAATCAAGTTTTTTACCCTCAAAAAAAAAATATATATATTCTTATTTTTTATTAGAATAAATAAAACCAATTATTTTGAGTTCCATCCATAACAAAATAAATACATAACAGACCAGATAAATAAATAAATAAATAAATAAATATGAAAATGAAAAAATAAATAAAAAAAATAATTAAATAAATAATTAACCCACATCAATGTTTAGTACCAAATTTTCAAAGAATAAATATTTTGTATCACAAAGAAAAATTATATAAATATATTTATTTTTTCATTTTTTTTTTAAATTTTAATTTTAATTTTTTCGATATTTTAATTCATATATGGAAGTTCTATGATTATACAAAATATAATAATAATAATAAATTTTATAAATTGTTGCATTAATATTTACAGATAAAACAAGTTTACTGCATTTTTATTTATTCGCAAACAAAAAATATATATTAAAGAAGTATTTTTACTTTTTATTTATTTTTAATTATGTTTTAACATTTAGTATTAGAGATAATTTTCTCTCTTTCTCTCTCTTTCTCTCTCTCTCTTTCTCTCACTTTCTTTCTCTCCCTTTCTCTCTCCCTTTCCTCTATTCTCTCGTTTCCTTATTTTCTCACTCTCTTCCTTCTTCTATCATAATAACCCTGCATATCCTCTGATATTTATTAGTTGATAATATATATAATAGTCCATAATCTTTAGTAGGTGGTTTTTGTTTCCTTAAGAAAAATTAAACAATGTTACACCACAAAACTTTGTACAATAAGCAATATATTCAAATGCATGTGACAATAATTAAAAAAAATCTTTTCCGTATTTCTTTTTATTTTATTTTTTTTTTTTTTTTGTGTAAAATATATTACCAAATTAATTCTCATATGGAAGGAAGATTTTTTTTTGATGTAATTGACAGTTTATTTAATTATAAAATTGACAAATAATAACAAATAAATGGTTTTTTTTGCCTCATTTTTCCGAATTGAAGATTTTTTTATGTGAGATGGCTTAAAAAAATGCGGAGATTATGTAAGAGAGAAACAAATTAAAATGTACCATTTTTTTTTCGTTGTTTGTTTTATTTTATAAAATAATAAAAATAATTACCATTAATAACTCTTTTCAAATTTTTATTTGGAAAATTAAGTCTTATATATTCACAATAATGAATAATGGATAATAGATCAACTTCACATATATACAAATATACAACATTTACATTCACATTCACATATACATACATACATAACACATACATACATACATGGAAATATTTTAAATAATTTTATTAAATGAATTTAAAAATTTTTTTTTTGTATGCAATTGATCTAATCATTAATTTAATATAATAATAACGATGATGATAAATAAGGATAAATGAATCTAGATTGATTATTATGATCATTCAATTGATTAATTAATTAATTAATTAATTTACTTTAATTGTATTTCCCTCTCTCTCCCTATAATTAATTATATACAAGTTCATGACAAGACGGCGTTAGCGTTATTGGATATTTTTTTAATCTCTTGAAACAATGCATCAGTGGCTTTACTTCTTTCTTCAGTCATTGCTCTGATTCTATTATTAATATTATCGCTAATATTGTCTGGTTCTTCTATATTATTTGTGAGGCTTGTAATTCCTTTACTCTTGGCCTTATTTTCAAAAAGTTTAATCGATTGTAAAAGTGTATTCAATTCCTCTAATAATATTATTATAAACAATTAAAGATTTATATTAGAATAATAACTGTGATTGGGAGATTGATAATTATTATTGTTATTTTACCAGTTGCACTACTAGTTGGATAAGGATATGAAAATGAATTCTCACTAAATGATGATAATAGAATAAATGGTTTTGATTAATATTATTGATCTTCCCCCTTCTTCTAATTATAATATTGGAAAACTAACATTTTAGAAAAAATTTCATTTCCACTCTTCTCAATAACATCCAATTCGACTAAAAGTCCATTTAATGTCTTTCCAAGCTCTTCCACAGACGAATTTCTAGTTGAC